AGTTCTGCAGTTTCTTAACTGTAGCTAATTTCCCACTATTGGCTCCACATCCGCTTTTCGGCAAAATCCTTGGAGATTTTTATGACTGCATTTCCTCTCTCTTACACTTGTTTTACCATCTAATTGCCTGCCTCTTCCTTTTTTTAAAATGACTCATCTATATCAAGTCTTTCCAAGGCATTCTACTTGGTGTGCATAAAAAAACAACTCTCTTTTCATGTTCGTCTTCCATTGGCTTATGTGACATTTAATTAAACTACATCATTACAAGAGCATACATACAGGCATAAATGGTTGGGGTACAATCACAGCTGACATGGCTGAGCATCCCACTCAACTGGTGGAAGTGACAGTGTTAATATATATCAGAAATTAGCCAACTAGCAGAGAGCCTTCAGCATGCTGTGCCGTCAGTCAATATGATTTACCAAAGACATGGAAAGGATTCATTAAATAGTTGGTTAAGGGAGAGCAGTTCAGAGAGCTTGCACTTCCATGAATTCTACAAAGATTGGTCATGAGAGCTCTTTCTGCATCACAGAGGGCACTGCTCTAGCTTGTATCCCTGGGACCTGAGTCTTGATTAGCCTGTATGTGGCTAGCACCTTGGCAGACCCATTTTGGACGAGGGAGGCTGGGAGGATGTGGGGATGGTTCAGACTCCCCTGAAATTGTCTTCCAAATTTCAGAGTTCAATGAAATTGAACTAAATCAGGATCACTAAATTGTGAGCTGAGCATAGCTCCAATGATATCTATTGTGGTGGGTAGAGTAGTGCCTCCCCCTAAGATGTCAATATCCTAATCCTTAGAATTTGTGAATAAATTAGCTTACATGGCAAAGGGAAATTAAGGCTGCAGATGAAATTAATGTTGCTCATCACTGTACCTTAAAACAGGGACATTATCCTGGCAGGCCCAATGCAATAAGAAGGGTCCTTACAAGTGGGAAAGAGTGAGTTGGAGGTAGATGTGACCCTGGAGAAGCTCGAAATAGTTCAGTGTCAGGAGAATTTCAACCTACCGTTGTTGGCTCTGAAGATGGAAAGGACCACAAGTGAAGGACTGTGAGTACCCTCTAGAAGCGGGGAAAGGCAAGAAAAACAAATTCTCCCCGTAAAGGAATGTAGCCCTGCAAACACCTTGATTTTAGCGTCCTGAGACATGCCTCAGACTTCTGACCTCCAGAACTGTAAGATAATAGGTTTGTTTTTTTGTTTTTTTGCAGTACGCGGGCCTCTCACTGTTGTGGTCTCTCCCGTTGCGGAGCACAGGCTCCGGACACGCAGGCTCAGCAGCCATGGCTCACGGGCCCAGCCGCTCCGCGGCATGTGGGATCTTCCTAGACCGGGGCACGAACCCGTGTCCCCTGCATCGGCAGGCGGACTCTCAACCACTGCGCCACCTGGGAAGCCCCGAGGTTTGTCTTTTTTAAGCCACTAAGTTTGTCATAATTTGTTATAGCAGCGTAGGCAACTAGTACCTCTACCTTCTTATTTCTGTGACATCGTCTGCTTTCCTAATAAAGGAAATTACATTTATAGGATTTATTTAATGTAAGCTCTGAATTTTACAACCCCTTCCTACTCCCCGCTGTGTTTAAAAGTAGTTTTAAAGCTGCTGCTTGTGACTAGAGGAATGTAAAATAAAGGGCCAAACCTCTTTAAAGCATTTCAAACATTTTGTTGTGACTATCCAAGGAAAGCTTTGAAACAGCAGTTCTCTCGTGGATGGAAAAAGAGCAAGGAGCATGAAGTGCTCTGTGACGTGCCATGATTGATAAGCCAAGGTCCTGGGTGAGCAAGTGTCAGGCCTTGTTTAGAGATGGGAGGGCCTCCCAGGGCAGCTGGCATCATCCCCTGCTGTGCTCAGCTGGACTGGTCCCCAGAGTGACCTTGCAAACACCGGTCACCGCCAAGTTTATCTTGGTCGGTGTTGTCTATCAGCACAGAACCTCTTCCGTTTAGACGGTAAGACCCCAGGGAGTTGCAAGAAGAAGCAACGCCAAAGAGAATGCACAATGTTAAGTCACTGGGGCTTTGCATAAACCAGCAGAGGAATCAGAAGGAGGGAGCAAAACATCCCGCGACAGGTACAAGGCCTGTTGTGATAGGAAGATAGAGGACTGTGAAGAAGTGGAACTTTCCCCAACTCAGAATCCAACATAAAGATAAGATACATGTGCAGACAAATAATTTACCAGTCGTGGTGATTAAATCCTGAGTGAGCACCCAGGTGGTCCATGTTTTGGAGTCAAAGAAGGGTCTTTCACCCTCAGCTCGGGTATGTGTGTGTTGGGGGTCCACTCGTAAGGAAGGAGATAAGCAGAAAAGGAAGATGCTCAGAGTTCTGGACGGGTGTCAGAGTGTCAGCACATACACTTGCTCAGGTGACCCCTGGTTGACCAAGAGGAATGATGCGGGAGATTCTGTTATGACACTTGTCCTGAGTGAGGAGTTTGGGTAAGCAGGCTCTCAGCAAATTGTAGCAGTTCTCTAATTTTGAACTAAGAAATTATACTTGGTCTCATTAATAGAGATTCTCTGAGGTTCATGAGAATAGGGGTGACATATATCAGTATTTCTGAAATATTAAGAATTTAGAGATGGGAGAGAAGGTTGCCCAGGATGGATATGTGGCTTGGGACAAGGCATCTCACCTGGGACTTGACTTTTCTTGTATAACATGGGGTCAAGGGGTTTCCCCTGTAACCTCAGACTTAAGAATAAAGTGAGATATACATAGACTATTTGGTAACTTTGAAGTACTTTGCTTAAGTTATGATTAATATTTTCATTGCTGTAAATAGATTGACTTTAATTCATACCAATTTATCAGAATTACCAAGGTTTATAACAATTTTTCTGCCAAGGTATTTTACGGTCAGAGAACAAATTGGTTCCTTTTTGACCCTGTGACCTTCTTTAGTTGCTATCTCATATCTATTCTCCTTCTCTTGACCAAATTCCATGTTTCCACTTTCTCACCACCCCACTCACTCATCTGTCCCCATCACACTGGTTTATATATCCCCGTTGGTTTATAGAAATTACTTTGGACAAGGTCACTAATGAGCTTCTAATTGTCAGATTCTCTAATAATAGTAACAATAATAATGATGGGGATAGCTAATGTTTATTGAGCTTTCATTATGTCAGGCATGTTTCTAAGTGATGTACGTGTATTAACTAACTTAACTTTATCCTGTGAAGTAGGTAATATTATCAATCAGATCAAGAAGGAAACTGGCACAGAGAGGTGTCCCTTGTCTAGGTCAGAGTTTGCAAGCAGCAGAGACAAGACACAAACCTAGGCAATCATACTCCACTGCCACACTTGCAACCACCATGCTACGCTACCTCTTACATTTAGATAGTGAGACCTTCTAGATGTGAATATTGCTTTCAGTGACAATCCTTGGTTGGGAATGGGGGATTGAAAAGCAAAGTGGGTGTGGGTGTATTAAAACAGTGGAGCTGCATTTAAGTCTAGGGATGTTCCTGCTCTTGTTTTGAGAGGTCTACAGATGAGCCAAGGTTGGCAGCCTTTCTGAGAGTTCTTGGTCTGGGGCTGTGACTGGGCAAGTGCGGAAGGGCAGGATGAAGAGGCTGTAATGGGGGGCCAAGGAGAACCTCACTGGGCATTTGGATGAGTCACCAGCAGGGAGGAGCAGGCAGGGTCAGCAGGGTAGTTCATGGGAAACCAGGGGGACTTTCAAAACCTCTTTGTGGCACCCTGGGGGCTTCAGGATCTGTGGTTTCCTAGTGCATGAGTGTCCCTGTCTTCAGGCTTCGTGATGATGATAAACAACTTACGTTCCTTGGTGGTCCTCACATCTTCAGGACTTGGGTTAAAATGGCAAACTGGCACTTCTAATAGAGCAGACAGCATGCTCCTGTACCCTTGTTAACTTCCTCTTTGCCTCCCTAGGGGTACAGTGAAGCTGGACAGAAAAAGCAGAGCCCATTGCAGTCTGCCTGTGTACATGTCCGCATCCTACAGAGATGTGAGAGAAAAGGAAGGAAGAGACATTTTGAAATGCTATTTTGAGGGAAAAGCCTCAAAAATGAAATGGAGCTGTAGTCAACTAGAATACAGATGTGTTAGCTCGCCTGTTCTGGGATAAGTTATTTTTTCAGATGTACATAAAGCAATTTAGCCACTCATAAATTTGATGAGTCAAGACATAATCCCTTAAAAAGCAATGTTGGGTAATTTGCCTGTTATTTTATGGAAACCATTTAGTAACCACATAATGTAGGTGAGAGTCGACAGTGTAAATATACCTCACACTCCCAATCAATGGGGAGTCACTGAGAGAGGATTCAGGGAGCACCCTGGGGCAACTTCATGTACCATGTCTGTGAGTGTACAAATCTGTGTGCGTGTGCACATGGATGTGAATGTAGGCATGGATGAAGGCCGCTTTGTTTGTGTAAAGACAGTTTATTTTGTCAACAGAATGAAAATAATCTGACATGGCAATTCTGGCTCTCCATGACTGGGAAAATGTTGGTTTTTGTCTCCAGAATAAAGTACCTCGGGTCTGGAAATCTTACAGCTAATTAAATAATTTTTTCAAATGGACACCAAACAGGACAGTGTCTATTTTGGGAGCCCAATTTCTTCCATGAATTTCCTACCTCCTCCCAAAACCCATACCCCTGTTGGAAACATGACTGAGATGCTCTGCTAGTCCTATGGAAGTCCCCCCAATCTATGTTCTCTGGGCAGAGGATCAAATTACCTACCATGATCCCTTCTCACTCTCTTCCTCTTAATAATAGAACATTACCCCCACCCTGAGATTTAGCTGGGAACGTGTACACATCTACAGAGATAGAGGTTGATTACTCAGCCTCCTTATGGTTTAGCTGTGGCATGTAGTTAAATTTTGACCAAGAAAGTGATAATAGAAGTGATATAGGTAAACTTCTGGACTGAGTTTTCTAATGAAGCTATGTGTCTTTCTCTCTTTCTTTCCCCCTCCCCTCTGACTAGGAAATGGTAATCGAAGCTGCTCCCTTGGACCCATTGATGGAAGCTTCAGATTGAGGATGGCAGAGCTGCTCAAACTTCCTGAACTGTTGGATGAGACAGAAATGAACTTCTCTTTTATTTAAGCCTCTGGATTTTGGGTGTCTTTGTTATACCAACTTTCCTGTAACCTAACTAAAAGATCTATATGCAGGACCAATTTGTGCCCTAAAATATTCTGGTTGACATCTCCCCCCAAAGCCTAGATCTACTCCCTGAAGACTAGAGAGAGCTGCATGAGAGCAGAGCTCAAGACATTGTGGTTTGCTTAAACTATGACTCCTTGGAAAGTTAAGAAATGGAATTCATTGCAGTAGCTGGGAGAACATCACCAAGAAATTCACCATTAAATGTTTTGTTGTTGCTGATTGTGTAACTTCTGATTTTGATATAATTTCAAAATTATACAAAACTTACAGATAGGTTGCAAGAGTAGTGCAGGAACATTTGCAAACCCGCTTTTCGGATTTACCAACTGTTGTGCCCATTTTACTTTCTCATTCTCCTCTATTGCGTGTGTGTCTACTAATATATTCTTTTTTTCTGAATTACTTGAGAGTGAGGAGACTGTCTTTATGATTTTTTACTTTTTGGAAAAACATAGCCCAGTTATTTGTAGAATGTTCCTCAAACATGATTAGATTTAGGTTGTATATTTTGAGCAGGAATGTCATAGAAGTGATGCTGTGCCTTCTCAGTGCCTCATATCAGAAGTCAAGTGATGCCCATCTGTCACTTTGATCATCAGGTAAAGGTATTATCCACCAGGTTTTTCCATTGTAAGGTTACTCTTCTTCTCTGTTTATTTAGTAAAGAATGTGTGGGCAGATACTTTGGGGCCATGTAAATATCCTGTTACTCATCACACTTTTAAACCAGTTTTAACATCCACTGTTACATTTTATATACTAGGAATTTTTAACAAAGACTTACTTGAAGAAAGTGCAGGTGCTTAGGACTATCTACCTTGGAAGAAAGAGACCTGGAGTCTAGTTTCAGCCCATCAACCCCAGACTTTGATTTCCTTTTTTGTAAAGTGGATGGTCATGTTCTTGGGTGAAATGACTTCTGTCTGGTTCTCTGAATCCAAGGATCTGGCGTTTATAGACAGGGGTACTCCTGGCATCTTCAGAAGGAGAGTTCTTTGAGGTGCAAAACTGTCACATGCTTTGTAGGATCCTTGGCATCCCTGGCTGTTGTTTACTAAAATTCCAGAAGTTTTCTGCCCTGGAGAGGTTTTAAAATATGGCTGTTCATTGTTTGACACCTCTCCTGTCAAGAGGTGAGGCCCATGTTACCTTTCCCTGAATCTGGGTGTGCCTGTGCTCAATTTGGCTGATACAGTACAGCAAAAGTGACACTGTGTGACTTCTGAGCTTTGGTCCTAAAATGCCATGTAACTTCCCCCTTGTTTGCAGGAAGTCTTAATCTTGGAGGCTTGAGATAGCATGTAAGATGTTGGCTTCCCTGAGGGTGCTACGCTATATACAGTTGCTCTGGTCAACAGTCCCAGCTAAGGCCACCTTTGAGTCATCTTGGCCCAGGTACCAAACATGTGAATGAAGAAGTCTCTACATGATTCCGGCCTACGGTTATTTGAGAACTTCTCAGCTATTTGAATCTTCCTAGCTGAGATCCTGGGTTGTTGTGGAGTAGAGGCAACTGTACCCCTTCTGAATTTTTTTTTTTTTTTTTTTTTGTGGTACGCGGGCCTCTCACTGTTGTGGCCTCTCCCGTTGCGGAGCACAGGCTCCGGACGTGCAGGCTCAGCGGCCATGGCTCACGGGCCCAGCCGCTCCGTGGCATGAACCCATGTCCCCTGCATTGGCAGGCGGACTCTCCCACAAAAATGTGAGTATAATAAAATGGTCGTTGTTTTATGCCATTTTAATTTGGAGGGCATTGCTATGCAGTGATACCTGGGACATCCGTACCTTTCCAAGTCCCCCTGAAGGACTGTACCACCCTCAAGTGGGAGCCACTGTGGATTCTAGCCTAATGCTTTCACTTTCTACTACTTGTCGACAAAATATATTTTAAGTCAAAATATTATGATACGGTGAGTGTTGTCTGTTTCTCCTATGTGTCCTCAGAGGGAACAAGGGCATTACTTTTGTGGGTTTTTTTGTAATGTCAGCAACCCTTGTTTACTCTCTAAAGTTTATTAGGAACCATGGCATGTTCATGGGACACTGATTACTTCCAAATAATAAGTACTTATAATAAGCAATATCGGTCATACTGTGCTTTTGGAATAGCTGTGATCCTGAAAAGGTGGTAATAAAATGAATTCTATAGAGGGAATCCTATTTCTTTAGAGGCTTGACTTACATATTTGAAGATGTATTCCAGACTCTTCTGTCTCACTGCCTTTAAAGACTTTAAGACTGACACTAAAGTCTGGGTAAGTGAGGACAGTGAGAGCTTTGAGTGATCCCTGTCTGGACTTGACATAGGTACTGTAACTGCCTTCTCTTGACATCTAATGGCTGCCCAACCTGAGAGGGAGGTGGAACCCTAAACATTCCCCATTCATTCGTTCATTCATTCATTCATTCAACAAACCAGGAATTGTATTAGGTTTTGGTGATAGAGCACTGGAGAAGGCAGGCACAGTTCTTTCCCTCATGGAGCTTACATTCAACCTAGCAGGATGCACAATAAGTGGGTAGTTTACAAGTTTGGTGATTACAGTAACACTGTGCCTCTCACAGTGGCAAAGGACCTGTTTGTTCTTCCTATCTATGGGTCATCTATCTGGCATTTCTGATTTCTCACCTGTCACGGGTAGATATATCCTATTACACACGACTGAATACAATTTGAGCCACTGTGATTTACCACTAAGTCTGACAACACCCAGATTAGTCTGTATGCTGTTCAAAAAAGATGAATCCACAGATTACTGGCTGGTTGTTGTGGAATGTCAAATTGCTATCCAAGTATTGACATATTTGCTTTTAATGTCTCTGTTCATCTCATTGCAGATCACTGACAAATAGTTCATACTCTAGCCCTGGTCCACAGACCACACTTTGAGTACTACAACTGTAGAGAAGTAGTATAGGAGGGTATCATGTTGTCAGTTGTTGCCCTTCTTCACATATTTCTCAACAAAAATTAGAAAATTGGAGGGAGTTTTCTCACAATGTGACTGTCTTATGTTCCATCTTATTTTTAATTCCAGCTTGATATGGGAGAATTAATGAGCAGAGGCTGGGAGTCATCACCTTACCTCTTAGAATCCACCTGTTGCTTACAAGGACATGCAGGTTCCTTTCACGTTGTTCCCAGGATCATTCCGTTCAGGGCCTGGCAGGGATGATGCAGACAGAGTTAACTTTCGGTATTCCAAGTTCCTACGTACCTAATATTGATATCATGATTCTCTAATGCTGGGTACCCTCTCAGGAGGGTACAAGGGAGAAAGTAACTCAAAACAGCTTTACATCATTCCACTTATGAAATTCTCACTGATATCATCTGAATTTTATAGGTAAAGAAATGGTAACATACTAAGTAAGGAACTCTCTTGGGTGAAAAAATAAGAAAAGGAACACTCAAATTTTGAATAATTTTTTTTCCAGGATTTAAAAAACTGGAAAAAAACAATTTCAAAGCGTGGAAGAGGGTAGCTTTTCATGAGCTAGAATTTCTCAGTAATTCCAATTATAAATATTTTTCTTATGAATAATTTCTCCTTAAAATTAAATAATCCAAAATGCAATGAATTATGCAGCAGCTAGGCAGAATATTACACTAGCTTGCTTTGTGCAAAATGAGAAAAAGAGTCTGTTCTATCCCAGATTGTATCTACCAGCCTGAGGTGAGAGGGCTGGCCTTAGGAGTATCATGTGGTGAGGCCTCTGGGGAAGATCAGGTAGCCCCTCTATTTCTCATGTCTAATCTGGCCACAGGGCAGAATTTCACAACAGAGCAGGGAAATCAGCTAATCACTGACACCTTGCCAGCTGTGGAGTACATTCAGTGAGGAATTGGAACTGGCAAATGAAGTCTTGCTGCTTGTGTCCAGATCTATTTACCTGAAAAAAATCATTCCCACCAAAAAAAAGAAAAAGAAAAAATCCAAAGAGCAAACAACAACATCCAAACCAAACAAGAAATTTAAAGGCCACTATCAAGCGTCTTTTCTCCTGCTTTTCCTTCAAAATACCAGTGTTTATTTAATAGACCCACAGCCCCAGGGTGGAAACAAACAGATCAATCACCAGAGTGTTCCATTGTGCCCATTATCCTGACATCCAGTTGATGGTATTTATCTGAGTCTGAAAGTCATCACACGGGCACAGGTGCAGCTGATGTGGCATGACATTGGTGCTATATAAAGGGCTGAGAGTGACAGCATGAAGGTAGAGGAAATCATGCCTAAGCATTCCAGGCAGCCAGCCCACCTCCCAGCCCTCCTGCCCACTGCCTCACCCGAATTACCTACTGGTCATGACCATCATGTCCCATCATCCACTTTAATAGCAGTTGGTACTCTGCTTGCTGCCTGCTCTGCCTGTCGCCAAGCCTCAGAACATCTCGTGGGACCATCTTTCTCTGCTGGGATGAACTCATGATGTTTTTGTTTTCTCTTTTGTTGTTTTGTTTTTTGCTCCCTAGCATGGAGCTGTGTTTATTTCTCAGAGAGCATACAAGTTTCGCAGGAAAAGAGTCTGCCCATATTTGAAAGACAAAGACTGAGGCTTGAGATTTTTGACCTAAACAAAACTCTCACATAAGCCAGGAACTTAAGGACACTAAAGGCAGTGTGAGTCCTCTGCATTTTAAATGCTGGTTTATGAATGAAGAAGGATAACTACCTACCACATGGGAGCCAAATCTAAGCTAGTACTTTATGTAGCTTAAATAAACGAATTGCCACAAAAAGCTTGAGCTTGTCCAAGTGACTGGTGGGCTGTTTGCTTGAGTTGACAGTCATTCCCTGGTAATTTGGGCAGGGTCACTGGAGAAATCCATCAACATTTTGGTGATGAGCAAATGGTCATCATCTACCCAGGGTCCAGAGTTGAAGCTCCGGTAGGAGCCTCTGTCTACAAACTGCATCTTTTGGGAGCCACTTGTGTGTTTTTAGGACATGAAGGTTTATAAAGAAAATGTCATAGACATTCACAACCCTCCAAGAGCTTTGTTTCTAACCAGGAAGGAAAGCACATTGCTGAAATCTGTCAAGTATTAGGTGCACAGAACAAGCATGGACTGGGGGCCTTGACCCCTTAATTCCAAGTATTGCCACAGAGGACTTAGTGACCTACTAGGGTAAGTAAAGCATGTTAGGTCCCCCTGGAAAGGAGATCACAAATGATCTAAGCCAATGGGTAGTAGTGTTACTGACCCTTTCGAGTCCCCAACAAGGGTCCTTCTGCCTGGTGCTGTTCAGGCCAATAGAATGAGATGGAGTTTAGTTCAGAAGCAAATGAAATTTTATTCTTTGATTAAAGAATAGTGTAGTGCGAGCTCCGGCTCTAGAGTACACGTTCTCTCTCTGTGGGCGGGGCTGCTTTACAGGATTCTCTGCTGGGGAGAA